AAATAAAATACACTGCAGTCTTTACAAAAGGCATGAAACAAAAGGGACAACATAAGCTTATTTAAGCATAGATAAATATCCGCGTTTGATGGCCCCTCCTAACCTGAGCAGCTAAGGGCATACAGAATCTTAGTAGCATCCTTTGGGAATGTATCCTAGGTGATATGCTAGGTTCAGGGAACTCTAGTATTAGTCTGCTTTCCTATTAATGCTGGAAATTCATTGAAAAACCTGTATGCTATGATATTCGGTAAAGCCTGGATAGTGATTATGAGCAGATATCCATAACACTAAATTTAAAGTTGTTCAATAGATTTATTTTCTATTCAACGGAAAATTCTGTAAGAATAGAGATCATTTCTCTTATTCACTCTAATATTCACAGGACACAGCCCAGTGACATAGTAAGCACTGTGTGTGTTTGTTGAATGAATGAATGGATACTACTTACCCTTTCAAATTATGATGTGATTGTATATTTCTTTACATAAAGACAGAAACATGAGTGAAATAAAGATACAGAACAACCATATGTACTAATTAAAATATATATATTCTCATTAAAGTTGAAGATATATCAAAGCTAAATCTGAATGAATTCTGACTGCTTTTTTGGCTCCTTCTAAATCAGTGTTATAATGACTGACATTGAAAAAAAAAATAAAGCAGTTTAAATTGTTCCTGTATCTAAAACTTTAATATAGCACACAACATAAAATTTTACTTAAAACACATGTGCACATACCACTTCTTAAACTCTTACTCCAACAACAACAAAAACAACTTGATTAAAGAGGGGGAAAAGGGCTTAAATAGACATTTCTCGAAAAGAAGAAATACAAATGGCCAACAGACATATGAAAAGATGCTCAATACCACTAATCATTAGGGAAATGCAAATCTGATTTACAATGGGATATCACCTCACACCCATTAGAATGGCTCTTACCGAAAACCAAAAAACAAAGGAAAAATCAGAGGCAAAAAAAAAAAGAGATGTGAGGACACTGGAACCAACCATTGTGCATGGTTGATGGGAATGTAAAATGGTACACCCACTGTAGAACGTGGGTCAAGTATATCCTTCTACCATTTAGTTTTCTGTGTGACCTTTATTATCAAACACTGTATGCTTGCAAGGCTCTTGTTAAAGTCTGCCCAAATGAGATCTGATCCCTATTTGGGGTGTACAATAGGCATCATCACTGAGTGTAGAACGTTTGTGTTTTCACTGTGACTATGATATTAATTTAGCACATGCCACCTTGATGCTAAAACATCTGGGTTGGACTTCTAAGATAGTTCGTGTCACATGCCTCCTCAAATACATTTTTGCTGACCAAGCTAAATTGAATGGTATTTACTTTCTGATCAAAATCATAGTATCTAAATAGACATTTCTTCAAAGAAGACATACAGATGGCAGAGGCACATGAAAAGATGCTCAACATCACAAATTATTCAAGAAATGCAAATTAAAACTACAATGAGGTATCACCTCACATCAGTCAGAATGGCCATCATAGTAAAGTCTACAACTAATAAATTCTGGAGAGGGAGTGAGGAAAAAGGAATCCTCCTACACTGTTGCTAGGAATTTAAATTGGTGTAGCCACTATGGAGAACAGTTTGGAAGTTCCATAAAAAACTAAAAATAGACTTATCACATGATCCAGCAATCCTGCTCTTGGGTATATATCCAGAGAAAAGTCTAAATCAAAATGATATATGCATCCCAATGTTCATAGCAGCATTATTTACAATAGCCAAGATATGGATAAACCTAAATGTCCACTGACAGACGAATGGATAAAGAAGATGTGGTATGTTTATACAATGGAATAACACTCAGCCATAAAAAGCAGTGAGATGGTGTTACTTGAAGCAACATGGATGGACCTGGAGATTATCATACTAAGTGAAGTCAGTCAGACAGAGAAAGACAAATATCATATTATATCACTTATATGTAGAATCTTTAAAAATGACACAAATGAACTTATTTACAAAACAGAAATAGACTCACAGACATAGAAAACAAACTTACGATTACTTGGGGGGAAAGGGAGGAGGGATAAATTGGAAGTTTGGGATTGGAACATACAAACTACTATGCACAGAATAGACAAGTAACAATCTCCTCCCATATAGCACAGAGAATTTTATTCAATGGCTTGTGTTAACTTGTAATGAAAAAGAATTTTTAAAAGATATACATACATATATATAAGTGATTCAACTGCTGTAAACCAGGGGGGGAAAAAGGCCTGTTTATCATCTTTTTTACTTGTACAGCCTGTGTTTTCAGTCATCATGCTTCAAAATGCTTAAGACAATCCAGTATAAATAGGAAGGTAGCATTATTAACTTTGACATCCTTTTATCACTAGTTAAATGTGCAGGAAGCACAGTACGTTTACTTGTTAAATCAAAATTGCAGATGTATTTGGAATAGTGTAACTACCTAAACACTCCTTAAACACTGAATCCTGATCATCAGGAACCTCAGGGCCAAAATTCATAAAGAAGAGTCCAAAGCTCAATTCTTTGCAGAGTAAGCTCCATGATTTGGGGCAAGTTAAGTTCTTTGATCCTAACTTGCCTCATCTGTAGACTTCATCAGAGTTTTATGAGGTTTAAATCAGACTGTCAAACACTCTTTCCCTTTCAGATTGACTCAAGTTTTTTGAGCAGACGGACTATGTGTAACCACCCCCTCCTTGATCTTGCAGGCTCTCCTGGAAAATAATTAATGCCCCGCCTGACGTAACTGGTAATCAGTACTTGGGGGGATAAATCGATCCATGTACGCATAAATAAGCAAATGAATGAATGCATTCAATGAGGGATTTGATAATCCACCACCCCCCCCCCAAATATTTATTGAGTATGCAAGGCATTTAAGTTAGAGGCTTGAACAGATGCCAACTGAAACATACCTCAAGTTATAGCTTGAAATTCTCTTTGGCCTCTCAGCATGTTTCTTCCCCCTTCTCCTCGTGATGGGCCTTTCCCCTACCCTGTGGAGAACTGCACGTCTCTATTCCACCGTACCCTATGCCCTGGCCACAGAAGTAGGCATGTGACGCAGCCCAGGAAATCAGATCTGAATCTGGAGCTGAGGCACACAGAAGCAAAAGGCAGCTGAGGCTGAATCATCTGCTGGTGGGGCCTGGGGCTGCTCTGTGAATTCTTACTCTGAGACCCCTGCAGCCGCCCTAATTCCCACCCTCTAGGAGCCTAGTTCTCCTCGATTTATTTAATTCTCTGAGCTATGCCAGGTAATACTGCTTGTAGTAAGTCAATCCCATTGATACAAGAAGTAAAATAACATATTCATTAAAACAACATATACACATGAAAAAGTAGTAAATATATAAATGTACATATAAATATGTGATATGTGTGCCAAAGAAATTTTTAAAATTACTATTCCACTGAAGTATTTCACAAAGGAAATAGAAGATTTAATCTTTAATCAGTTCCTTTCTCTTTGTCTCATTTCTAAGGTTCAATTATACCAAGCAGTTAATTGCTCCCTTACGCAGTAAGATCCCTGACTTGGGAGATTAATACCCAAAGGAAGGCCAAGGTTATTTAAAATCTTTGGTGTTTGGGAATTACTGTAGTTCCTAGCATCAGAGGGGAAGTTACTGTGTGGAAGTGAAAGCACACTTAGCTGTGTGACATTCTATTTGAAAGTGATTGAAACAGAGAAGAATTCAGGATATCGACCAGCAGGATGCAAGCTGATGGGGGTTTAGCAGGAAAGGGCTCCTTCCTTCTGCTGGAGAAGGAAAGAAAAACAACATTCAACAGCACCAGCCAGTTATGTGCCCTCTTTGCCTTGTAAGTGTCCAAATTTTGTCCTTCACTTAAAAAAAAAAAAATATTTGGCTCTCACTCTCTCCCTCCTGTCAAAATCACCAAAGGGAAAAAATAAAGAGAGAAAAGAGAGAGGGTCCTAGGCAGTAGGATTCATGGGTTGGTCTATAATTTGAAGACCTCGCTGCATTAGAAAAGTTAAAACAGGTTGAAAAAGGTATCAGAATTTTTCAAAGTATGGAAATTGGAAAGGTGCCCCTACTACATGTACCCCTGTGCCTGGAACTGCCATAAAATTGGGTTATTGCTTAACTTAGATCTGGTTAGACTATTAACAGATTTTGGAAACTGAAATAGAGACTACCAGTTACTCATGTGTCCTGAAATCTGGAGCATATAGGTCCTGTTAAAGTAATTTTCTCTTTATTAAGAGCTATCCAAGACCCTTCTTTTGGCTAGTTTCTCATTTTGATCTTCATACCTAGGGAGACAATGTGGTAAAGAGTCTGTATCTTTTGTAAGTATGGCTTATGTGATCATAAATGATTTTGGGGGCGTTCATGTTACCACATATTCTCAGATGAATGTCAGAAACAAGATTATACTGTATAGCACAGGGAAATATACACAAGATCTTATGGTAGCTCACAGAGAAAAAATGTGACAATGAATATATATATGTTCATGTATAACTGAAAAATTGTGCTCTACACTGGAATTTGACACAACATTGTAAAATGATTATAAATCAATAAAAAATGTTTTAAAAAAAAGAAACTTGGATGGGACCTTATTGAATCACAAAGTAGCATTCAAAATTAAAGCAATTTAATGGTGTATATGAAGAATGGAAGATAGGAGAGTGGCCACGGAAGGCGTCTTGGTGCAGCCGTAATGAGGAGCACCTGTAAGTAGAAACTGCACTGCAGAGAGCGCCCCACTACGAAGGGAAGCAGGCCGGCTGAGGCAGAGCTGTCAGGAAGCACCACTCTGCAAATACCTGGTCATTTTCTCCTTTTCTGTTTCACTGATTTAAACGTGGCTAATTGACATACATATGAAATTCAACCACAAATTTCTTTTCACAGACACCCAAGAGTTGATTCCTGCATAAAAATGAGAAATCACACAGTGGTGACTGAATTCATCCTTCTGGGAATCCCCGAGACAGAAGGCCTCGAGCCTGCCCTTGTCTTCCTGTTCTCATGGCTGTACACATGCAGCCTCCTGGGAAACGTGCTCATCCTTACAGCTGTCATCTCCTCCCCTCGCCTTCACACTCCAATGTATTTTTTCCTGGGAAACCTCTCCATGTTTGACCTGGGTTTCTCTTCAACAACTGCTCCCAAGATGCTGTCCTACCTTTCAGGACAGAGTCAAGGTATCTCTTTTCAGGGCTGTGCTGTCCAGCTCTTCTTCTACCATTTCCTGGGCTGTACTGAGTGTTTCCTGTACACGGTCATGGCCTTGGACCGCTCTGTTGCCATATGTTATCCTTTGAGATACATCGTCATAATGAACCACAGGGTCTGCTGCATCTTGGCCACAGGCACCTGGATGGATGGCTGTGTCCATGCCACTGTCCTAACCTCCCTCACCTTCCAGTTGTCCTACTGTGGCTCCAACAAGGTGGGCTATTACTTCTGTGACATACCTGCAATCTTACCTCTGGCCTGTGGGGACACTTCTCTGGCCCAGAGGGTAGGTTTCACAAATGTTGGTCTTTTGTCTCTCATTTGCTTTTCTCTCATCCTTCTTTCCTACACTCGCATTGGGATCGCCATATCAAAAATTCGCTCAGCAGAGGGCAGGCAACGAGCATTCTCCACCTGCAGCGCACACATCACTGCAGTTCTTTGTGCTTACGGGCCAGTCATCATCATCTATCTTCAGCCCAGTCTCAGTGCTATGCTTGATGCTATAATTCAGATATTGAATACTCTTGTAACCCCTATGCTGAACCCGCTGATCTATAGCCTGAGAAATAAGGATGTAAAATCAGCTCTGAGGAACGTGTTTCCCAAGAGAGGCTTCGCTCTGGAGAATAAATGAGAAAATCTACAACTTGGGTGGACAGAGTCTGAGTCTCCATTTCTTAGGACTAATTCTCATCTGCAGCTTCCAAGGCATGTTGAAATTAAAGGTACTCTGAGCCGATCTATCACTTAACCTCACTAAATTTTTTTAAAATGTCTGTTTTCATATTTTTCTATGTTTTATAGGGAAATATAATTAATAGAGTCATTTTGCCGACATGGAACTGATTCTTGTGCTACGTGGATTCCCTTCCAGGACTGCCATTCTCCCCAGAACATTTCTTAGCTCTTTACATCTTTGGAAGTGTTAAAAGAACTTATTTCC